TCCCCTTCCATTTTATAAGAGAGTTAATCTCATTCACATTCACAGTTATGATGACTAATTGTGTCTTTCTCTCCATTTTATTTTCCTCCCTGTTTATACTTTTCTCTCTTTCACCCTTTCCCTCCCTGTCACCTTCTTTTGCTTCTGATCACCATCTCCCTCAATCTGTCCTCCCTTTTATCAGCTCCCCATTTTCCCTTTCCCCTCCTATTTCCCTATGGGATAAGATAAATTTCTACACCCAACTGAGTGTGTATGTTATTCGCTCTTTGAGCCAAATCCAATGAGAGTAAGGTTCAAACAACGCTCACCCCCTCCCTTGTTTCCCTCTACTGTAACAGGTCTTTTGTGCCTCTTCATGTGATGTAATTTACCCTATTCTGCTTCTCCCTTTCCTCTACTCCCAGTACAATCCTTTTTTTTTATTCCTTAATTTTTTTTTTATATTATCACATCAAAGTCAACTTATACCCATACCCTCTATGTATATTCCTTCCAACTGCCCTTAAAGAGATACAGTTTACAAGACCTACAATTATCATCTTCTCGTGTAAGAATATAAACACTTTAACCTTATTGAATAACAATGGTTTTTTCCTGTTTACCTTTCTATGCTTCTTTTGAGTACTGTATTTAAAGACTGAATTTTCTGTTCAGCTCTGGTCATCTGAAAGTCCCCTATTTCATTGAATATTCATCTTTTCCCCTGAAAAGTTACGCTTAGTTTTGCTGGGTAGTGGATTCTTGGTTGTAATCCAAGCTCTTTTGCCTTCCAGAATATCATATGCCAAGCCCTCCAATCCTTTAATGTTGAAGCTGCTAGATCCTGTGTAATTCTGACAGTGGCCCTTTGATATTCGAATTCTTCCTTTCTGGCTGCTTGCAGTATTTTCTCCTTGACCTGACAGTTCTGGGATTTGGCTATAATACTCCTTAGAGTTTTCATTTAGGGATCTTTTTCAGGAGGTGATTGGTGGATTCTTTCAATTACTATCTTACCCTCTGGTTCTAGGATATCAGGGCAGTCCTTGATAATTTCTTGAAAGAGGCTCTTTTTTTTTGATCATGGCTTTCAGGTAGTCCAATAATTCTTACATGATCTCTCCTGGATCTATTTTCCAGGCCAGTTATTTTTCCAATGAGGTATTCTACATTTTCTTCTATTGTTTCATTCTTTTGATTTTATTTGACTGATTCTTGATGCCTCATAGAGTCGTTAGCTTTCACTTTCCCAATTCTAATTTTTAAGGAATTATTTTCTTCCATTAGATTTGTACCTCCTTTTTCCATTTGGCCAATGCTACTTTTTAAGGAGTTGTTTTTTTTAGTCAATTTTTAAACTTCCTTTTCCAAGCTGCTGACTCTGTCTTGCATAACTCTCATTTCTTTTCCCAATTTTTCTTCCATCTTTCTTATTTGATTTTTTTTTTACTTCTCTTATTTGATTTTTAAAATCCTTTTTGAGGTCTTCTAAGAAGGCTTTTTGGTCTTCAAACTAATTCATCTTCCCCTTTGAGGCTTCACATGTAGGCATTTTGACATTGTTGTCCCCTTCTGAGTTTGTGGGGTTTTTTTTGTTTTGTTTTTCATAGAAACAACCCATAATAACAATGAGGCTACATACCAAATATATGGGGAATTAAGAAAAATGAGAGACATCCCTCAGTGGACAAGTGGTCAAAGGATATAAACAGGCACTTTTCATGAGAAGAAATCAGAGTTATTAATAATCACATTTAAAAAATGTTCTAAATCACTATGCATTGGATAAATTCAAATTAAAACAACTCTAATATATCACCTCACACCTAACTCACTGGCTGACATGAAAGAATGCTGGAGGGAATATGGAAAAAATGGGATTGAGTTTGTGTTTTGATCTTCTCTGTCACCATAGTAGCTTTCTATGGTCAGGACTCTTTTCTGTTTTTAACTCATTCTTAAGCCTATTTCATGACTTTTTAAATCGAGCTCTGCTACTGGGGCTGGGGGACACTGTGCCAAGCTTCTTGTGCTGGGGGCCATGGGCCTGGTCACTGGCTTTCTAGGCTGGGGCCTCAGGTGCTGGCAGCTTGCCCATTGCACTGAGGTGGCCTGGCCTACTCATGCCTGTTGTGCCAGGGGTTCCCAGGGTGGCAGTTCTGCACTGGGGCTGGAGGCCTCATAGCTGGCCTGCTGTGCCACTTCCCGCTAAGCCAGGACCGAGAGGCCTCAGTTGGTGATCTGTGCTGTGGCACAGATCCTGCTGGCTTGTCCTGACACTGTCTGTGCTCCTCTTCTACCCAAGTGAGACAGAACTTTCCTGAAATCCTTCTAGGTTATCTTAAGCTAGAAAAGTATTTCCCTCTGTCTTTCTGTAGGTTCTGTAGCTCCAGAATCTATTTAGATGCTCGATTTGACACTGTTTCCAAGGGAAACTGGGGAGAGCTCAGGCAACTTCCTGGCTTTTCTCTGCCATCTTGGTTCCACCTCCCTCTTGGTGTTATCTTTGACTCTCCCTTGACTCTCTTGTTCAATCAGTGATTAAATCAATGTGAATTCTACCTCTGAAATAGTTCTCACATCTGTTTTCTCTCAATCTGCATTCTATTTTCATAGTCACCATCTGAGTAGAGGCCCTCATTACCACCTGCATGGACTACTGCAATAGTCTACTTAACAGTAAAGGTTTTTCTGTCTTTACTCTCTCCCACTGCCAATTCACTTGTCATAATGCCACCAGAATGCTTTTCTTTAAGGTATAGATAAACTGAGCAATTCTTTGTCCTTCCCAAATATTCTGTACTTTGTGATATCCAGGAGCCTTCTGAACTTCTAGCATTAACGTTCAGCCCAAATACCACCTTTTCTTTAATGCCTCTTTCTGATTCCTCCATCTGTATCAAATATCCACCTTCCAATCTCACAGACTGCTCAGTTTTGTAATTTTCTAATGCACTTATGTTATATTGGGCTTCTCTGTGATTTGTCACCCTCCTACTAGAAAAAGAGTTCTTAACATTTTTTGCATCATGGATCCCCATGCAATCTGGTGAAACTGATGGGTCCCTTTTCAGAACAGTGTTTTTAAAAGCATAAATAAAATATACAGAATGGCTAATGAACTAATTAGATTGAAATAGTTACTGAAGTCTTTAAAAAACCAAACAAACAAGTTCATGGACCTTAAGTGAAGAATTCTTTTACTAGACAGTAAACTCAATGAGGACAGGAATTGTATCTTAACTCCACTTGCTACTTCTGCTAGAGGCTAGCATGGTTAGCACCCAGCAAGTACTTAACATCTGCTGAATATGAAGAGCCATGTGAAAGAATGAAAGATGGACAAAGTGCATGACTGGATATGCCAGAAGACAGAAAAGTCAAGAATTTTACTACAATATGAAGATATGAGATTAAAATAAGAGTAAGGTGAAGGAAGCCATTTTCTGAGAACTACAACCACACGAAAATAATGGACACATCCTCCTCTGATATCACATAATCCTTCTGGGCTTAAGAAACATTTTCTTTAAAAGTGCTAGGCTATAAACACGCAACAATAATACAGATGATATAACAATGTAATTCATCAAACTGTGTTAAGTAATTTACTTTCAGGAGATTAAAAAAATGTTGAAGGCATCAAATAATTTCTTCTCAGGGAAAATGTCTAAGAAATTATGGAATATAGTATGTACTCTCATTATTCCAGGCAATGTGTGACATTTTGTAACTAACGAGAATCTCATAAACATCAGTAATGTGGAAAAAGTAACAAACCTTAGGACTTTTCTCTTCGATGCCTCACACATACCCACACACAAGATGATATGAGAGAATGTGGGTGTTTGCAAAGTCTGTGTCACTGCTGGTTATTGAGACACAAACAAAATGAGTCTTTTTTGCTGAACAGCTGTTGGCTTGATTGTTCTTTTTTCAGAAAAAAAAAAGTTGCTGTTATGGTAATGGAATGTGACCTCATTGGCTAGCAATTACATCATGTCTTGAGACACTGCTTTGGAAAGCTGTTTTCACAATGCATCACCTCGAAAAATGGCCAAAAAATGCCAACTTCATTGAGTTAATGATATACATTCTAAGTGAGTATGACTTAAGGGAAATATTTCTGTATATTCAGTGAGAACTTTTTGTCCTTATTGAAAAATTGGAATTAAACAATTTTCTACCTATCATTTTTCAACTAAGCATTTTTTGAAGCTAGCAACAATATTAATCTTTTGATAACTGTTTTTGAGATCTATTCTATGGCTATCAATTATACCTAATTACTGAAAGATGAGTAACTACTTCCTTTTTTGCAGATTGTGTGATCAACAGTGCATTCCACATGGCCACAAGGAGTTATTTCCTTAGGTAAAAAGATGCTGCATGTCTTGTGTTATGGGGTGACAAGAAGTGACTGTCAGAAGGGTAGGATGTCTCACTCTCCAATTTCCCTATTGGCTGTCACTACTGGCTGCTTCCGTGTTTGACCTTGGGGACCTGAAGAGAAAGGAGTCCAACAGTCTTGCTTTAATATCCCACTAAGCCCTGGCCCTTCTTTCAGATGCAGGGGAAAGCTCAGTCAGCTTCCTTCTTCCCCCATGCTCTCTATGGAACTCTGTGCATGTGGACCAAAACAAGGGAGAAGTTATGGGTAAAAAAAAAAGCAGTTGAAATCTTTGCCCACCCTGAGATTTTGGGAATACCTATGGATTAATTTTGCACACTACCCTCATTTCCTATTGCCACAGAGACTGAGTTTTCAAGAGGCTGAGTATTATAATGAACATACCACGCTTGGGTAGACATTTTCAACTAATCAGAACTTGACTCACTCTTCATGGCTTGGCATAGAAACATTTTAATGTGCCACATATGCAGAAGCTATGTAAAATCAGGGATGTTTGTGATAGTTCAAGAGAGATTCTCATAGGACTCCAATACATTAATAATAACAAGAATTACTTTTTATGACAATAAAATAACTTAAGAATGGAAGTTATCTAATAACTTACTTTTAAGGACTCCCACAGAGGAAACTGCACAAGAGAGAAAGGAATCTATGGAGAGACAAAAACATGTCAAACAAACACATTAGGCTGGCAGGACTGACAGAGTGTGTAAATTAAGAAGAATTATGGTTTAGCAAGTAGACTCTCAGTTATCACTTGTAAATAAGCATTAATGCATATTGAAAAGCAAATTCCATTAAACTCATTCTATAAATAGATACCGTGAAGCAGGGAAATGAAAGGAGCTGTCTAACTCTGTGCCAGCTCCATGGGGGCAGGGGAAAGAGGGAAGGTCAGGGAGGGCTGCTCTAATAACAGGAGTACCTTTATATCCTGGTACCACTAGTAAATTCAACTTAAACATTTATTCCTTTGTTGTGACAGCTAGGTGGTGACACAGTACACACAGAGTGCCAGGCCTGGAGTCAAGAAGACTCATCTTCTTGAGTTCAAATACAGCCTCAGACACTTATTAGCAGTATGTCCTTGGGCAAGTCACTTAACCCTGTTTGTCTCAGTTTCCTCATCTGTAAAATGAGCTGGAGAAAGAAAAGGAAAACCGCTCTAGTATCTTTGCCAAGAAAACCCTGAATGGGATCATGGAGAGTTGGATATGACTGAAATGACTGAACAACAAAAATTCCGATGCTGGGCTATATCTAGACAAAGCTCACATGGAGCTATAGAAGAGATAACTTCTGAAGTGCACTGCCATTCCTTGAGTCTGAAATCCGAAATCTGATGATTCATCTCCCTCTGAATCTGTCCCACTTCCCCTCAATTTCTAAACTTCTCCCTCTTAGAGAAATTGTCACATTTTACTTTGGACTCTATTTACTGGTACATGTTTCAGCTCCTCTATTAGACAGAAAACTCTGTGGGGGCGGAAATAACATTTTATTCACGTCTGCATCTCCCATGGCACCCATGCAAGTGTGTAAGCCCAAGTCAGAATAGGTTTTGGACAGCGAAAGCAAGCCGTAGTAAGGGATATGCTTTAAAAAGGGCTGCTGATTAGGTTAAAGGCTAGAGAAACTTAAAGTTGGAGAAAAATGCATTTATTTATGGCACAGGGAAAAGAACACTAGGTTTGAATCCCGGCTATGCCAACTGGTGCCTATGTGACCTTTGGTAAGCTCCTTCTGCTACCTGGGCCTCAGTTTCCTCATCTGTAAAATGAGAGGGTTGGACTAAAACCCATTCCAGCTAAAAGTTATGATCCTAATGCTTTGGTTTCTATTTTGCTGCAGGCAGTTATTTCCTTGTCAGGGCAAATTACTCTGTTCTCCAAATTCAACACTATCTTTCCATTGGGGGGTGTGTGTGTGTGTGTGTGTGTGTGTGTGTGTGTGTGTGTGTGTGTGTACGCACAACTCTCCTATCCTTGGGTAAAAAAGATGTTGAACAGGAAATCTTACAAATTATGTAAATGGAATAACATCATCAGACAGGCAGTGTGGCATAGGGGCAAGGACACTGGCTCCATCACTTCTCTCGGTGAGCAGAGGCTGGCCACTTCAAGGCTGCAGCTCTGTTTCTTCATCTAAAAAATGGAGATAATACTGCCTACGTTACCTACCTCACAGTGCTGTGAGCCAAGTGCTTTATAAACTTTAAAATGATGTAGAAACAGAAATAGGTAGGCAGTCCTTGCCTTCAAGGAGCTCACACACAGAGACAACACATATACAAATCACTATATACACCATATACAAAAGACATGGGAGGTATCTTGGGAGGGGCAGACACTAGCTGCTGGGAAGAGCAGAAAAGGCCTCCAGCAGAAGTAAACATTAGAGTTGATTTTTCTTTACAGGCAATAAATTCCTACCTTAAATTCAACTACATAATTTGTTCAAAGATTCAAATGAAGAGAACTCCCTGTTGAAAACTGAACTGGGAATATTTTGGAAGTCACTAATATGCATATGAATGCACACTAGTAATTTCTGGTGGATGAATCACTTCACTTATTTAAAACATTTGGGAGTTACTCTAATATTCATATTTTCTCCAAACCCAAAGCCTTGGGTATTATTTGCTTTACTCCGCGGTGATTCATGACTGACATATGAATCTCTCAATTAGTCTGATAGACAAACTGAGCTTGACAGACACCTGCCACAGAAACTGTGTCACCGATCTTGGTCGGACAGGAAGTGGGAATGAGAAGAAATCAATGCCCCTACCTCACACTAAGCTGACAAACTGAAATCGCAGAGGACGTTTGTCATCTGGAATTATAGGCTGCGTCCTGTGAGGCATCTCAGAGTCCTACAAAAAAGGTCAATCAGGCCCTTGTAACTAAACAGCAGTGATCACATTTCCTTTCCAATTTGGGGTAAAAAAAAGCTATTCCATTGACAAATGAAGTAAGATTGTATAAGAATGTCTATAGCAGCTGCCCCTGCAGCACCAACAAATATTTACTTAAGTGAATGAATAAAATAGAGATCGCTACTGACAACAAATTGTCACACCACCTTTAGTCCTAGCTAATGGATGTTTAGAATCTACATAGCTCAAAAGGACCTTGTACAAAATGCCAAATGAAAAATACACCAATCCTGAACACCTTAAAATTAACTTTTTTTCATTTTCTATGGGGAGCAAATATAAAAATTATTACTCATTCAAAAACATTTTCCTGTAAAGCCTCTTAGAACTCTATTACTTTCCATTCAGAGATATCTATATAAGATATTGCTATAAGACTAAGATGAAAATTATCTCAGTCAACACATTGGCAGAGATGTCAAAATATGGGAATAGTCACTGTTTGAAAGGCTATAGAAATATGGTACACTAATATACAACTGGAAGAGCTATGAAGTTTGGTCCCACCATTCTGGAAAGCAATTTGGAATTATGCAAATAAAGTGACTAAAATCTCCATACGTTTTGACCTAAAAATTCCATTGCTAGGCATATTCTCCAAGGAAGTTAATGACAACAAGGCTCCTTTATACACAAAAATGCTTAGAGCTACCGCTTTCTGTGGTAGCAAAGAACTGGAAACATAGTAGATGCCCATCAGCTGGCGAATGGCTTAACAAACTACAATGTGTGCACCAAACATTGTGCTGTAGAAAACGATGAATACGACTCACCGGAGAAAAGCGCGGTAAGACTGCTGTGAACAGGCGTACGGCGGCACAGACAGAAATGATAAAGCAGCACGCCAGACTGTAACAGTAACAAGAAAGCAAAGACCCACAAAACCACTGGACTGAATGATGGAGAATCACAGTGACCGAGCGCGTCCCCAGAGATGGCGCGTAAGAAGGTGCTTTCTGCCGCGCCTCTGCAGGGCGGGACGACGCGGGGCCACCGCGTTTCACGCCAGAGTTTTCCAGGATCTTGCCACTTTTGTTGATGTCGTCCTCCCCCTCCCCCTTCTGTTTGTTACAAGGAAATGTTCTCTGGGGAGTGGAAGGAGAAGGGATAAGCTGAGAAGTGTAGGGATATAAAAATCAAAGAAAGCGAGAAAACAATAAATTCATGTTAATGTAATTTTCTCTGATCAAAATGATACAAACCATAACATAAATCATACAATTTACTATTTTCAAATTTCAAATGCAATTTGCTATTATCAAAAAAGCTCAGAAGATGTTATTTAAACTATTTCATAAACTTTCCAAGAGTTTTCCAAGCAGTTAGGAACTAGGTTCTTTTTCAATCCTTCTAAAAATCAGCAAGTTCATCAGTATGTGTATTGTACGTTAGTAGAATCTTTTTGAGTTGCTGTCTAACATTAGCGACCCAGTAGTCAGCCTTCCAATTGGTAAAGCTCTCTGATTTTAGTTAGGATCCACCTCAAATGACAGACATCTATTGCTGAGTCTGTACTTAAATTATTTCCAACTTGGTAAAACCTATGGGGACTTGGGTTCCCCTGGGTGGCCTTTAAGAACCTAGGATCACCTCCACATCAGGGTGAAGCATAAGAGTAAGACTAGATTTCTGATGTGTTTAAGAGGCTCTTTTAAATACTTCCTCCTCTCTCTTCCCCAAAATGTCCACAAAAAGTAAACATTTTCATGGAATTCAGAGTGATGATATTATTTAGTATGGTCCCTTTTAAGAAAATTTGGCAATCAAATTCAAAAGACTTGGAGCCAGGATCTTCCACGTCATTTAGCCCAACTCCCTCAATTTTAAGATGACAAAACAGTCGGAAAGATTAAATAAGTCCCACAAATCTGCACAAGGAGTAAATGGCAGGGACAGGATTCCAAGCCAGGTCTTGAGACTACAGAGTCAGTTCTCTTTTCATTGCAGGCAAGATGGTGAGAAATGGCGAGAAGAGCGATTTTCTTCTCTCCTTCCATCAACTTCCTTTGAGCATGGTATGGAGGATGGATGCTAAGAATGCTCTTATCATCCTCCTCTTCCCACCCCCAGTTTAAAGACGGTTTTAAATCGTATTTGGGGAGGAGAACTCAGTGAACTGCGTACATATTGTCTCCCTCATCAAATGTAAGCTCCTTGAAGGCAGGGGCCATTTCGTTTTTGTCTCTAACTCCAGCACCAGCACAGTGACTGGTACCTGGCAGGGCTTGATCAAGGCCTGGTGACTGATATTTATACTTCTGGGACCTCCCATTTATGATGTGATGAATAGTGCCTCTGATTAAATTCTTTGCAAACTGCCTTCTTGCTACAAGGGAGAATCAGACATGGCCAAAGTGATTATGCCCTTGCCAAGAGGCCCAGAGCTTTGCTGCTCTGACCTTGTTTTTCTGTATATTAAGATACAAAGTAAGGCCAAAGCACTACCCTGAATGTCCTTATAAATAATCTTCTTTCCACACCAATTTTGTACTTTCCTCTAAAACCAAATTAATCGGTGGCCCAAAGAATTTAACATTTTAATTCCTGGAATGAAAGACATTCTTCTTCTGAGGCCAAGGGAAAATTCTGATCTATAACAGTTCCCACAATCTAATTCATATCAGCAGAGGATCCTAGGCTTGGCCATGCTCACAGGATGAAGAGGCAACAATGGAAATGTGTTGTTCTGCCAGCAAATAGAGTCCTACGGC